TTCACTGAGACTTGAAACACTAGCACCTTGTTAACTGCTTTACCTCTGCTCAAGCTATTTGCCCTAACATGTCCTTTAAAAGCATATAGGAATTTGGCCCTGTTGAGAAGTCTGTTGCAGTTATCTATGAAAATATAAAACCCATTTATTTTTCTCTTTAAAAAAGTATCTACATAGGAATTCAGATGAGCAAGGAGAATCCACTTTGGGATTCAGATAAGTGTCTATGAGACACTTACCTCTGATTAACTACCAAAAACTGCACAAGTGCATGGAAATAACCTAAGCAGAACCAAAAGAACGGAGACAAAAGGCTCTGGTCTAACTGCATTCAGCTGGATTTTCTTCTGTTTGCTGTAGAACTGGAGGTTCAAACCAGAGTCTTCATACAGCAAGCTACCCCTGAGCTACATCCCTAGCCCAGTGCTCTTTTTTAGTGCTTTAAAAAGAAATCTAGCTTTTCCCACTACATGCATATTCCTTCCTACAAAAGAAAGCAAGCTGGGAGTTGGGTAGACATGCCTCTAATACTAGCTACTCAGGAGGCTGCAGTCTGAAGATCTGGGTTCAAAGCCAGTTGCAGAAGAAAAGTTTATATCCCCAATTAACTATATATAAAAAAAAAAAAAGGTGGAAGCAGAGCTAAGGCTTAAGTGGTAGAGTGCCTTGTCTTGAGCAAAAAAGCTGATAGTGCCCAGGACCTGAGTTTGAGCGCCTGTACTGGCAAATACACACAAAAACATTGACTAATTGCCTCTGAAATTTTATTCTCACAACTTTGCTATACAGGCCTAATGAGGATTGCAGATAGCCTAATAGATTTTTCCACTCACTCAAGAAAAAGGCTGCTTTTTCCATTTAAAAAACCTGACTGAGCTAAGTAGTGTCTCACACCTGTAATCCTAGCTACTCAGGAGGCTGAGATCTGAGGATCCTAGTTTGAAGCCAGCTGGACAGGAAAGTCTGTGAGGCTCTTATCTCCAATTAACCACCAAAAAAGCAGTAAATGGAGTTGTAGCTCAAGTGGAAGAGTGCTAACCTTGAGAAAAACAAAAACAGCCCAGGGACAGCATGCAGGCCCTGAGTTCAAGCCCCCAGGATCTGCATTAAAAAAAAATAGAGAGAGGAAGGGAGGGAAAGAGAGAAGGAAGAAGGGAAGGGAGAAAGAAAGAAAATGGAGGGGAAGAAAGAAAAAAAGGCTGTGTGTGTGTGTGTGTGTGTGTGTGTGTGTGTGTGTGTGTGTGTGTGTGTGTGCCCACACATACATGCACAAGTCCTAGAGCTTGAACACAGGCCTGGACAGTGTCTGAATCTTTTTACTCAAGACTAGCATTCTGCCACTTGAATCACAACTTCCAGCTTTTTTGGTGGTTAATTGGAGAACAAGAGTTTCAAGGACTTTCCTGCCCAGGCTGGCTTCAAACTGCAGTCCTCAAATCTCTGTCTCCTGGGTAGGTAGGATTACAGGCCTGAGCCACTGGCACCTGGCCACTTGATTGATTTTTGTCTTTAAATCTCTTAAGTCTTTGGCCCTCACAAACACCACAGTACATGTATTTGATGGAGCAGGGGTTTTTGTTGTTGTTTTAATTAAATAAAGGGGGGAGGTGCTGGGTGGACACAGATGTGGTCCAATGAAAGCTCAAGGGGTCTAACCATAGCTTCTCTCAAAAGACCAGAATGGCCTGGTTGGGGAGACCACACTGAGAACCTCCTGGCCATCAGAAAAGCACAAGCCTTGCCTTGTAGGCACTGTCTCAGTTGGCCTCTGCAGAAACCAAGTTGCAGGCTTTCCATAGAGAAACTCCTTTATCCTTCCATGATGCCCTGGATATGGACCTAAAAAATGAGTTCCAGGAGCAACTTTCTGCTCTAGGCAGCTCATTTCCACGAGGAAAGAAGGAATATGGACACAGAAGACACATTTTTTTACTCAAACTTTTGTTTCCCCCCTATATACCTACAACCACAGGCTTTGAGGAATTCAATGCTGAGTAATGACCCTGTCCTCAGAACTTACTGTGTGGCTGGCCATTGACAACGATTCTCTACTTTCATATTCAGGCTCTGAACCTTCAGGCCTGTGTGTACACGTGATTATTAAAACCAGTTTTCACAGAGAACCCTAGCAAGCCCGTTTCACCCCACCCCTGCCCACCTGCCACATACGCTCACTCCAGCTCACTGACCACATTCTTCACCTTGCTAGCCTCCAGGAGTGTCTCATCCACCCTAGCTTGTCTTCAATAAGGACTACAGCTTAGTAGTTTTGTATATGGACCCCGTATTGCTCCCTAAATATTAATTCCCACAGGCCCATGCTTTATTCAAAATGAAGACTAATCTGTCTCATTGCAAAGTGCCATTGCTGTGGCTTCTATGCCTATTGCAATGGTCCTGAATAGTCTTAGTCATGCTTTTGCAAGTAACATTGATTTATTTTTCTTTAATAATAATAACACACAGGGACTAGGAATGTAGCTTAGTGCTTGCCTAGCATGCATGAGGCCCTGGGTTCAATTCCTTGGCACTACATAAAGTGAAATAAACCCAGTCTGTTAATAATAACAACAACAATAATAATACACAGTGCTTTGTGCTAATGCTGGGTTCTAGCTAGCCAAGAAAAGTTGAATTTTGTAGTGAATTGTAGCTAGTTTGAATGTGTTGAAGAAGCTGTTAGGCCATGACAAAGGCCTACCACTTACCCAGGTGGGCAGCAGGATGGCAGGTGTGCCTCCTCTTCAAGTGGTCTTCTGCACATCAGCTTTCCTATAGTTAGTCTGGAGACTACCTGATGACAACGGTCCTGTGATGAAACAGATGCCTGTGTCCCCAGCATCACTCTGGCATACAGGGTACTTGTGTGCTGCTCAGGCTTCCTTCAATCTCAGCATTTGGCTGGTGTTAGGAAAGAGGAAAGGGTAGTGCCTTCAGGCTCCTTCCTACTTCCTGTCACTGACTCCTTGGAGTAACTATCTCTAGGCAGATGCTGACCTTCTCCACACTCCTGTCCCTCTTCCCCCTACTTCGCTGCCATCGCAGCCCTTTTCCCACCTTGCTCCAAATGCTTCACAATACTCAGAGGTCTCATTTGAAGTAATGCCAGTCTCCTTTTTCCTGTACCAATGTTTTACTCAAACACCAGTTTTTTGGTTGTTAATGGGTTTTGTAGGATGTTTTGTTTTCTAGTGCTGGTCCTAGGCTTGAACTCAGGGCCTGAGTGCTGTCCCTGAGCTTTTGTGCTCAAGGCTTCCATTCTACCACTTGAGCCACAGCTTTCAGCATTTGGGGTATAATTAAGAGAGTCTCAAAAACTTCCTTGCCTGGGCTGGCTTCGAACCACAATCTAAGATCTCAGCCTCCTGAGTAGCGAGGATTACAGGCATGAACCACCAGCCACTTGGATGTTGCTATTGCTTTTAATTTATACTTTAGAGCAGTCTTAGGTTCAAAGCAAAATTCAACATAAAATATCCCCATACACCTGTCTCCAACTGCAAGCATTCCTTACCAGAGTGGTACATTTGTTACAATCTACACTGATACTTTTTCCTACCAAGGACCATTTGAATATTTATAACATTTCTGGGCCATGTAAAATTATCAGAACAAGCAAATGGGTGGCAGGAAGCACATCAATCTGTCCCATGTGTCAAACAATTTTTAGAGCCAATATTCCCCACTCTGATTTATACCATTTTTTTTTAATATGCCATTACTGGGACTTGAACTGTCTTGTTATCTCACTTGGCTTCTACTCTCAAGGCTAAGCACTCTACCAGTTGAGCCAAATCTCCTCTTCCATATATTGTTGGCTAACTAGAGATAAGAGTCTTACAGAATTTCTTGCCTGGGCTAGCTTCAAACCACAATCCTCAGATCTTAGCCTTGTATGGTAATTAGGATTGCAGACGTGAGCCATCATCAGTGCCTAGCTAATCAGCACTCTTTTAATGTTGTATGCTGGTAAGTTTTACCAATTTAAAAGATTATGTATTGGGCTGGGAATTGGCTCAGCAGGAGAGGTCCTGGGTTCAATTCCTTAGTACTTCATAAACAGAAAAAAGCCGGAAGTGGTGCTGTGGCTCAGTGGTAGGGTGCTAGCCTTGAGCTGAAGAGCTGAGGGACAGTGTACAGCCCGATTCAAACCTCCATGACCGACAAAAAAAAAAAAAAAAAGTTATGTATTCTAACCTCATCTCCTAAAAATTCTCAATTCCTTCTATTTATCCCTCTCTCTTCCCTCAACCTTGACACTGATCACTTTACTATCTACATTACTTTTTTACAGAACTTCCTACTAGTTGGAACTATAACATACAGTCAATTTTCAGACTAGCTTCTATCAGTGATAATGCATTTTAAGTTCCCCGTCTTTCCACATTGCTCATTTTCCCCCCAGCACTCAATTGTATTCCATTTTCTAGTATTAGTTCATTTATTCACTCAAATACTGAATGGTATCTTGATCACTTTATGAATTTAACTGCTATAAACATCCATGTGAAGGTTTTATGTGGGTAAGTATTCAAATAATTGGGTACATATTGAAGACTGTGTCTAGATACTTCAACTGAGGCTAAAGGAGAGGAACATCAGGAAATAATGAATTCAAGTTTTTCTTTTCATCGTTTATCTGTTTTTTGGGGGGAAGGCTGGCAGGGGGAACATGAAAATGGAGGAACAGAGTTAACAGATGCAGCAATGGTATTCACAAGACACATTGAAAATGAACAATACACCTTTGTGGGCAGGGATAGGAGGGAAAACCTGGGAGAGAGCCAAGGAAGGGGTGACATTGTCCAAAAAAAGAAATATTCTCATTACCTGACTGATGTTTTCATGTTTTAACTTAAGCCTCAACTTAAGCCATTACTCATCACTTCCCTGTTTTATGGGGGGAGGGGCACGTTTTAAAATTTTGCCTAACAAAATCTATTTGTTGAAACATGGCCTGACTTAAGCATTTGTGAGACTGTTTTTTTCCTTCCACACAGATAAATGCAGAAGGAACACCAGAAGAAGTTTTTCTTCAACTCTGCACAGCTATTGACTCTATTTTCTGAAGGCAAACGTGAACGAAGGCAAAAATGAATGTCTGCTAAGATTGGAAATATACATTCAAAAGTTCACTCCTTGGTTTCAAGTTAAGCTTTTTGTGTCTCCCATATCCAGATATGATGGCCAGTCTGTGCGAGTGCTGTCTGGAAATCATGCATGGGGGTTCTTTGGACTGTCCATTTTCCTTATACTTTCTATCACGTAGGTCACACCTCAGTGATGTCAGTATGCGAACAACAATGTAATGTCAATCTGTGTCAGCTGTACCTCCTAGGCCTTGCTGGAGTCAGATCATCTGGTTCTATTCTTACCAGTGTCCCTAACTACTATCACATCTGTCCTCACCCCAAGATGTGTCTGGTCTTCCCTGAGGCCCTGAGGTCCTGAACATGGGAACAGGCTTAGGTATCCTCCTTTGGAGGCTGGCTATTTCAATTTGTATCCACTAGAGGCTAGAGCCAAAGAGGCGTGACTAAGGCAATGGGTCTATATATCATATAGACCTATCTAGCAAGTAACACTTGCTAGAAGTTTTTTTTTTTTTTGAAATATAACATTGTATAGCTTTTCCAAGATGGCAAGACCCATGTGAGCCTTCAATAACATTCTCTAGCAAACTGGTTACTTGGAATAGTGTCACAATGGCTAAGAGAACAAATGTCATCACTTTACACAGTGGTGCATTATAAATTAGTATCAATATCCAAAAATAATCTAAAAGCATGATCTCTTTCAATCACTGGACAAATATCATCTCATAATTTTTATTTGAGATGATGCCCCACTTATTAAATGTCAAGCAAATAAGAAACAGAGCAACAGTAACTAAACTGCTGTGGGTGGCAAGGGCATGTTAGCAAGCAGGTGTTTTGCAGAGTCCGGTGTTATATTTGTCTCATATGGGCCCCTCCCAGGGGTTTGCAAACTGTGCATCAAACCAGTGATATGTGGGTTCTTTTTTGTGCTATCTCCTGTCAAATAAGAGCTTCTTCTGTATCCTACTAAATAATAACATCTTCCATTCAGCTACTACAAATTTCTATAGTTCCTGTTTGCATGATTTTCTTTTTCTTCAATGTTGTGCAACTATAAGGATCCATTTCTGAAACAGAACTGTATTTTTAAAGTCATTTTTTTCCTTGAAACAGATATGCACAAATAAAATAAAATAGACAGGACAACTCTTTTTCTATTTATTTGTAACTCACATCATTCTGAAAAGCATCTGAAGCCTTAATTCCAAACAGAATTAGAAGCAAGCACAGTACTAGTTGAAACTTATGATCCATTTATAAAGTTTTAATTTTGGCCAGACTATTACAGAGAATTCTTAATGTATTCGTGATACATGATAATTTTCATATTTCCTTTTTCTGTAGCATTGGTTCTTAAAACATAAATGTCAAGTGTTTGCTAGAGAAATTAAATTTCTTTGGTTACAATTAGGCCTCTATTAACAAAAAGGGTGCAGCATGTTCCCATAACTCACACAGTTGTCAGTTATTTTACTATCACAACTTGTCACACTCTTCATAGAGGAGCATAGGGAATATTTGAGCAAATGAGAAGAAAAGTGATGATAAAAAGATGAAAATTACCATTTGTGCCAGAAAATATAAAATGACTCTTATAGGTAGGGATTAACATTCTGCCAACACAGACCACACAGCCCAAATCCACCACAGCTTTAATAGCAAGCATGAGGAAATGAGGCAACAGAGAAGCAGTCAGGCCTAGATATGACTTATAGGTGTAGTTGACAGCCACCCTGAAAAAACAGCACAGGTAAACAGCTTAACCCCTGACGAATCCATAGGGCTTCTTCCAAAGCGCTGCTAAAAGACACACTGATGATTTGGATGGCTTGAAATGACAGAAAAGGACCTTAGAGGTCTTGACCTAGCAAAAGGCCATGTGTGTATGGGAAATGTCAGAACACAAACCAAACTTCATTATGATGCCCTACATTCAAAGTCACACCTGAACTGGCCCCACATCCTCTCTAACCCCACCAATTACTACTCTCTTCTTGCTCATTTGGTTCCAGTTACAATGAACATCTTAGTTGCCTGAGCAAGCATATTTACTGGCTCAAGGCCACTGGCATTAGTATTCTTCTGCCTCTTCCAACACCTGATCCAGACAGCAAATTCCTTCACTTCATTCAGGTTTTTCTAACATTCTAATCTACCCTTGTCGTTGAGGCTTTGATTATTCCGTCTAAAACGACAGTGTTCCCCATTCTTCAGTTATTTTTCTTCAAGTATTATTTTTCCTCACAGTATTTATCTCTGCCTAAAATTAAGTAATTAAAATTTTTATTTGTATATTGCTTGTCTTCTGCGTTCATATATAAGATCCATAAATCAGGGTTTTGTATCCTAAGTGCCACCCACCCACAGCAATTACAAACCAAGAACGAACGAACACATTTAAATTCTCTGTATCTCTAGTTTTCCCATCTGTACAATAGAGATCCTAACAGTAAATCAACCTCATAGAGGAGTTGTGGGGATTAAGACAAGTTAAGAGGACATGTAAATCATTTACTAGTTCCTAGAACTCGAAAGGTGCCTCTCTGTCAACATTTACTGAGAGTGTAACTTCTGCAACTTGGAACTAGGGCCCCAATTTCCAGCCCATTGTCTTTGCCATTTAAATCACTCTACAGACGTGACAGAGACTGAAGATACATGGCCCAATGGAGGCCCCACCCCGAACTCAAACGTTCCCATCCACCAGGGTTGAAGAACATCCTTTAGACAAGTAGGATGGCTCCTCCCTTTTCTCAGCTCCTGAGCCAAGCCCATTAAGAGTCACAGATACTCTTGGATATAGGTGCCAACACCTAACTTCCCAGAGAGAAAAAAAAAAAAAAAGTGTAACTCATTGGTCATACAACCACAACTATTTATGGACAATCTATTAAAAGCCAGGCCCTAGAGCCACAGACAAACATGGATGGTCCTCTGTTCTCATGGAGCTAAATGTGACATAACTTTCAAAAAGACATTTATGCAGCTATATAAACTGGAAAAAAAAACGGAAGTTCTTTTCTGGGATTATTTAATCCCTTCAGTACCTTTTTACCAAGGCAAGAAATGAAAACCAACACTTTATTGCCTAAAGAAGGACGATGTCTCCATAATCTTGTAGAAAAAGTGACTTGTAACTGGAGACTCCTAATTCATCTAGTGCACCTAGAACTCATCTACAGTAAGAAATGGTTTCTATAACAGGTCTCCCATTTATGACTGAAAAAGAAACATGAGAAAACAACACTTAATCTTTACTGCATGTGACACACTATTTTTGCTATTTCCTTTTCTTAAAAATGTTCCTCACACCTCAGTAAATGGTGTTCTGTGATTTGACTTAAAAGGGAAGTGGGGGGTAAGACATGGTCACGGGTAAGTGAGAAGCACACAGCGTGCACCTGTTGAGTCTGCAATGGCACGATATTTCAGTGGTTTCCCTCGGTCCACATATAGGCTTCTCTATCCTGTGCAACAAACCTAGAAATATACTCAGGTTTGTACTCTAACAACTACACCATGCCTGGGGAAAAAAAAAACATGAAAAACTCTTGCACACCCGCACTCTTAACATGCCAGTGATGCCCGATACAACAGGAATATTCATGCTGGGCAAAGAAGGTAGTGGGGATAAGACACTGAGTCTGGGTTTACCAGTTTAGGTTAAAGTCAGGCATCACCACTTTCCTAACTATTTGGCCTTGAGCAGGTGGGTTAACAACTTTCTGACTAGATTTCCTCACACAAAGACAGGATAATAAATGAACCTGCCTTACTACTATATGATTCCTTGATACATAGTAAGTATTCTTATCAGAGTTTACTCACAGAAGGAAACTTCTCCACTTAAGCTTTCTTTAGATGTCATTAAAATTTTCTTCAGTTATTAACATATAATTTGAGTATAATATGCCAGGAAATAAATCTGATCTACTGAAGCTCACCTGATAATAAGCAATGCGTTAACAAGTAGATCTTTTATAGTCTGTTGTCTTCCATACCAAATATTTCTTGGTACACAACGGAAGGCCTACTTGCAAACCCACAGACCTACCTACTCCTGCAACCCTCAAATGGAGACAACATAAGACACTTCCAATGTTACTACTACCCTTTATGCCTTTTAAAGACAAGGGGACTACTTGCTTTGAGCCGAAAATTTCAAAATAAATACATCTCTGTTCAAGCAGAAAATAATCTTTTCTGCCAAAATCTGTTAATCTTTGCCCTTGAAAAATGCATTCAAGTGGCTTGTACATTCTCTTTATGTAACAACTGCCTCACTCATAAGTCCTTCCCAAAGCATACTTCATACCTTATGGAATTTTTTTAAATAGATGTGAATGGTTCTCCAAAGCTAACTGGTATAATTTCCATACAAACACAAAAGTTATCACCACGTGCAACTGTCTTGTCATATTACAGGCTGCAGGCAGATCTTCTGGCATAGCACATGACATTTAGTATTAAAATGTCTAGAACGCTAACAATTCCCCTCTTTCAGGGTGAGAAGTTCATTTACTTCTCTTTCTGATCTTAATCAGTATATTACTTTAAAATTCTCATATCTCTTTATTAAAATTGTTATTTTTCTTAATTAAAAAAAAGTTCAGGGTCGATTTTAGTGCCCTGCTGTGTATTGAAGAGAACTACTGAATACTGTTCCCTAGATTTAAAAACAGGAAAAAATAAATGATTCTAAAAATCAGATAAAATATAATACTAATCCACCTTAGAATATTTATACTATCTTTTTCTAATCAATATTAATAATAATATTTCCTGGTGGTCTCCAGGAAACCACCTATTTAATTCCATGGAGATTTATTTTCACCAAAAACAAGGAGAACAGAAAACTTCAGTCTTTCTACATTTGGGAATCAATAATTGTCTTTTGCTTAGCCACAGTCTCTGTTTCTTTTTTGTAAACTAGTTTAATTTTTTCTTTTAGCACACACTGATCAAAAATACTACCGTAATTATACATTCTCAAGTTCACTCTTTTCTATATTTTTTACTCTTTATAAAAGACAGTGAAGAAAACCCTAATTGTATATGAGAAGCAGACTTACTTGTAAAACTTTAAAAAAAAATTCTGGTTTTAACACTGGTAAAAAAAAAAAAATCTAATCTAACCAAAAGGAAGTCACCACAACATTCTATAATATAAACAGACAGTATCCACATAGTTTATTTCTCACAGTTCTCCTGACAAATGAACATTGTTCAAGAACATACTGTATACACAGTTAAGAAGAAACATACAAAATGCTTTAAATGATGCACAACAAAATCCATCAGTATAAAAGAATGCGTGTGAACTCTTGCTCACTGCGCAGACTAAATTTAATCACTTGTTTAAATAGTAATAAAAATACAATCTTTTATGGATCTTGTGTAGACTACAAAAGAGGGAAATTATTACCATATATATGATTTTTATATTAGGCAGTTTTCTTTGATGAGTTGCACTCACAACTCCAAATACAGAGGCAGAAGGCTGTGTATTTTAAAGGAATTAATGTGTGAATTAGAGACTTTACACAGTTACTACCACTGGCACTTTTTCACCATAGTTTGTACACATCACATGATCATCTTATATAACATAACATTTAAAAAATATATCTGAGTGACAACTTTATAACATTCACACACCATGAGCTGGTTAAGGAAGCAATGACACAGCTGCCTCCTGTAGTGCTTTACTGTTGGTAATAAAGACAGTTCATTGCGGTTAAAAGAAGTTAAGATATCAATATGGTTAAGCAGCTCCAATTTACTAAAGGTCATCAATGACCACCACTGGGACAGTGAGTTCTTTTAGAGTATATATTCTAGAAGCAAACACCATCATTGGTTAAAACTTTGTCTAAAGAAGTCAGTTTCTGCACTGAAAACTATTTCCACAAAACTGAAAGCTACTAAACTGTTTTTAATATAAATACTTTGTCTTCTTATCATATTTATGACCAAGATCTTTGAAACCTTTGGAATTTACTCTTAATGTGTGCTCTCGTTTCCAACTCACCCATTTACGATCACCACCTACGAGGCTTTCAGGTGGTGGTGCAAAATTCACTAGGGAAACCTTTTGCTTACCAGGAATGTTCAGCTGCTGAACAATGATCTAGAGCCACAACGGTGCCAAGCTATACTTGACGAGAACACTCAGGAAGCTCTCATGCTGTGAGTGTCATTTCAGGGAAAGCAGAGAATCTTTCCAAACTGTGCACATAATTAACAATGATACCATTGCTGTGTATTGAAGAGGACTAGTAAATGATGCTCTCTTCCATGTCATCTGTTTGCTGGAAAGTAGTTTGGGTCAAGGTAATTATAACTGGTGCCCTGGGAGACACAGTAGTCTCTGTCTAAAAATGTCTCTGACCTATAAATAGGTTCTAATTGGTGATCTTCCTTGTGAATATCTGTTTCATGTAGGCTGCAAGAAAAAAAAAAATCATCACTATATAGCACTAGATACATTTTGGCCTACACATTACAAAACCTTCTCACAAGTTCTACTTATTTTAATGTTATCAAAATCTCTAATCAAAACTACTTGAGATGTGTGTGATTAGAGAAAACAATTTCTTAGAGCAAAACTGAGTGCATTATGTGCAGCTACTTTCTAAGAAAGTTCGGAAATCAAACTCACTGGCCATAAACTTCTTGACTTTTCAAACTTTAAGGCTAAAAGTGGAACAGAAATTAAGAAAGAAAGAAAAAAACCCACCAACTTACCAGTCTGAACAAGAATCACAGAAATCCAAAGACATTTCTGGAGGACAGTCCTGGCAGTGCCACCGAACACCCTGGATAGGTTCTATGCCACAGTTATCACACTACAGCAGATTCAGAGAGAAAAAGTATTAAGCTAATGATATGTATGCAGGTGTCTCTTCTTTCCTAATGCACACTTGGATAAAACAACAATAATATCTATCCAACTAGGTAAAGGCCCATCAACTCAAAATCAAGACAAACATAGACCAAAGGAGCATATAAAAATAATCTTCAATATGCTATAATTTATTGTATGAAGGTTTTAAGTAAGTCATTTCAAATGTGGGCATTTAGTTATTAGTCGCCACTTACTTGAAACCAGCATATGGTTGTGAACACTGGCTTTATAATCATAGTTAAAACTACCTACATATGTAAGAGGACTGTTTTAATAAGTTATCATTATTAACATAAACCCAGGCAACCACAAAATCCTCTCTGATCATTCATCTTATGGAGTCAACTCTCCAAAGTCTAAAGGCATAATAACCAATGCCCATCATGACAAAAACACAGACCCAGCTATTTTTTGATATGCTGTGACAGCCCTTTTGGAAATCCAAGTATATCTCATTTATAATTCTTTAATCATCAGATCAACTGGAGTAGCTGGTAGTCTAGCTAAGAAGCTAAGGCTGCGTCCTACAAGAGAATGATGAGAAAAGGAACAGCTTTCCTCTTGAAAGACTGGAGTTGCCAGTTAGAAACATTAACAGAAAAGGGATCACTGAAAGATTAAAAGGGAGAAAAGTATGTAACACAGCTTGGCTAACTGCTACTCCAAAGTCCCCGAGGCACAGTTGTTTTTTGTTTTGTTTTGTTTTCCCATTTAGTTGATCAGTAGCATGTATGAATACTTCTACATGTATTACCAAAAGAAACATCAAATTATGGTATTATTATTACTTCCTTCAATTTGAATAAGTATATTCACTTCTAGTACCTAAAGTTTTCTTCAACCTGTCAACTTCAATTGGGCCTGAACTCTGGGCCTGGGCGCTGTCCTTCAGCTCTTCAGCTCAAGGCTAGCGCTCTACCACTTGAGCCACAGCGCCACTTCCGGCTTTTTTCTTTTTGCTTATGTGGTATGGAGAAATTGAACCCAGGGCCTCATGCATGCAAGGCAAGCGCTCTACCACTGAGCCACCTTCCCAGCCCCTCAACTTTTATTTCTACAGGGACCAATCCAGGTTAGGATTGGTCTCATCTTTTGTCTAAATTACCAAAAGAATTTCTTCATCATCTCCTCATCTCTAGCCTTACTTCCTTTAATACAGTTTTCATACTATAGCCATAATGACCACCACCTCCTGCTATATACATATATAAGGACTTACATGCACACATACATATACATACATTTACATAGGTAATATACAGAAATACATTACTGCTTTACAAAACTTAATTATCAGGGACTAATTTCTGCAGCCCTAAATGGACTGTCTTTCTAAAGGTTATTGATGTAAGAATTAAATCATGAAAATATTTCTGAAATGCAAATTTCATGTTTCTCTCTGCTTTAAAAATCTTTAAATGGTTCCCCAAACTCTTAGAACCATTTAAACTTCTTGGCAAAATTTCTGAACTTTTCTCACTGTCTTTAAGCTTTCTCCAATGTGCGTGTACTCTTGGTTGTCCTTAATTATTTTAACTTCTCTAAATTCCTTATGAGAATGAAAAGAGCATGAAGGCAAGAATTAATCTATCTTCTTTACTCTTGACTCCCTAGCAATGAGTAAAGGGCCCAGAACATGTGGAATGAGGGCATACTGTCCTATTAGCCTTTGAAAAGGGCTGAGATAATTTAATCTGAAATGGAAGGACAATTCTGAGTAGCACTAATTATAAGAGAAACAACTGGGCAAAAACTTACCATCTTGCTGGGTGTCAGTGGCTCATGATTGTAATCCTAGCTACTCAGAAGGCTCAGATCTGAGGACAGTGGTACTGTCCCTTAGCTTTTTCATTTAAAGCTAGTGCTCTACCACTACCAAACCACAGTTCTGTGGTTTGAAGCCGGCCCGGGTGGAAAAATCCATGAGACTCTTATCTCCAATTAACCATACAAAAAAAAAAAAAAGGCAGAAGTAGAGTTGTGGATCAAGTGGTAGAGTGTCAGCCTTAAATGAAAAAGCTGAGAGACAGTACCCACGCCCTGACCTCAAGTCCCATTGCTGGCATTAAAAAAGGGATTTCTCAGCTCACATTTTACATCACATTATAGACACACACATGTATGCTGAGCCACAAACACTACTTATATAAATGAACAGGACAAGAGACAAACTTACTAATCTTTCCCTGCATGTTTAAAAAATGTTGTTTTGGACTCCAGAAACCATTTACAACTGTCTCAATACCCTTCCAAAGATGAGCTAGTAACATGAAGCAGCCTACCTTGAAGCCTACATGCTGCACAAACCCACTTTCAGCTTTCATTTGCTGAAGCTTCTGCTTCTTCAACTTTTTAAACTGTAATAGTTCTTTATATTCAGGTAAATTCCTACACATGATAGGTATACTTTCTTCATCCTATTGAAAACAAAAAGGTTAAAATAAGTTTAAGAAATATTGATGTGTTTTCTATTGATAATGTGTTTTTCAATTTGAAGATACCTTATCTTAAAAACAACAGCAACAGAAATAAAAAACCCCTGTAATCCTAGCCACTCAGGATGCTAAGATCTGAGAATTGTGGTTCAAAACCGGCCCAGTGTGGAGAGTCCATGAGACTCTTACCTTCAATAAACCACTCAGAAAAAGCTGGACGTGGTACTGTGGCTAAAATGATAGAGCACTAGCCTTGAGCCAAACAAGCCCAGAGGTAGTGCCCAGGCTCAGAGTTCAAGCCCCAGGACTGAAAAAGAAAAAAAGGAAAGAAAAAGAGGTATGTTTGGGGTTGTTTTTTTTTGGTGCCAGTCCTGGGTCTTGAACTCAAGCTTCTCTGGCTCAAGGCTAACATTCTACCATTTGAGCCATAGCTCCGCTCCACTTCTATTTTTTGGTTTGTTTGTTGTTTTTGTTTTGATTTTTAGACAACAGTCTCACTGACTTTTCTGCTTAGGATTAGCTTCTCAGATCTTAGTCTCCTGAGTAGCTAAAATTACATGCATGAGCCACTGGTCCCTGCCAAGATACCTTGTTTTTTAAGAACAGAAAATTAGTGCTGCTATTGGTAATATTCTTACAATACTTAAGGAGAACTTGTTAATGCAATAATAATTGTGAATTGTTCTAGACTGCTTACAATGTCAGTACAAGGGGAACACCTCTGTCATACACTAACACAAACCCAAACTCATCTATACACATTCATGCCTACTTCAAAGATTCTTTATAATCTACTTTTCACACTTGGCAAGATATTCCTCTTTTCCAACCTAAGATTTTTACTCTTATTCTTATAACCATGACATTTCCTTAACAAGCAAATCATCTTTGCTCTTGTTTTTTGTTCTTTACTTCCAGTGATCAAGAGGATGGATGAACTGACTTTCAATGACTATTACATATTGTCAAAACTATACACATTAAATTGAAGAGTCCCATAAAAACAGATCTATAATGTACAAAATCCATTTACAATTCCAAAATTTTAAATAAATGTTTATGAGCCACCAGTGTCTGGTCATATATTTTTTATTTGCTTACATTAGTTATACAAGAGACCAGATTTCACTGTCCTATTTCTACATGTTTACAATATATTCTAATCTCACCATTTCTCTCACCCTCCCTCTCTCTCTCTTCAGTCTTTCCCAAAACAATTTAAACAAGTTTCATTATCCTATTTTTATAGTTACAAACATCTACTTCAAGTATATTTATTCTCTTTTATTATCCTTGTTAGCCTAACTTCCTCCGGACTACTACTCACCCAAAGACAGTCTATTGCTCTTTCCTTGCCCATTCACCTCTCTACTTATCAACATGTTTCATTCAAGTTCCTTATGCTGTTTTCATATATACTTGCAATTAGATACACAACATTAAATACATCCTCACCCCCAAAAGTGACTATCACTTTTATACTCAAAAGTATAACATTAGTCTACTCAAAATTATTGAGAACACTTATCCTTACACTGCTCAACCTCAAAATCCTCACAATTGTTCCATCCCAATCCCCTAGGTCTCGCCTTGGATTCTATTAGATTCCTTAGATTCTACCAGAACAATATTCATCTTTATTCTATCTCAGTCGCCCACTCCTGAACCCTTGTGCTTGACTTTAACTAGAAACGGTTGCTTCCAAAATACTACACTAGGGGCTGGGAAGATGGCTCAGTGGTAGAGCGCATGCCTTGCATGCCAGAGGCCCTGGGTTCGATTCCTCAGCACCACGTAAGCAAAAAGAAAAAAACCAGAAGTGGTGCTGTGACTCAAGTGGTAGAGTACTAGCCTTGAGTTGAAGAGCTGAGGAACAGCACCCAGGCCCAGAGTTCAGGCCCCATGACCAGACCCCCCCCCAAAAAAATACTACACTAAATTTCCCATTTACAATGTTACTTTCCTTTTCTCCCCAAAGTTTCAGCCCAAAAGACTTTATTTTTCTTTTGGTAATACTGGAGGTATACAGAGCATCATGATTGCTAAACTACTGCAATATTGCTGAGCCATACCTCCAGCCCTATATTCCAATAATTTTTAGAATAGGACCTAACTTCTAATCCTGGCACATGCCTGAGTTGCAGTCCTCCTACTGCAGTCTTCCTGCAGCTGGTGGGATTATAGGCATGTGCCATCGCATCCAACTTGCCTGTGGAAATGTAATCTCAAGGACTTTTGCTCAAGTTGACCTGGTACCATGATTCTCCCAATCTTAGACTCCTAGGTAGCCATTATAGCCAACTTAGATGAGCTACAACTGAGCAAAGATAAGCTAAACACAGTGACAGTAACATCAATTTGGAAAACAATTGTGTATCATTCTACCCAGCCAATCTAAAATCTACTTCAAAATTTAAAAATCCTAGGCTTTCTAAACACGATCCTGCTTGCTGCTTGCAAATATTTATGCACAGTCACCTAGATAAGAGTCACAGATTTTCCTGCTCAGGCTGTTATACTAAGATCCTCAGATCTCAGTCTCCTGAGCAACGAGAATTATAGGTGTGAGCCACCAGCACCAGCTCTAAATACATCAAATCTCTTAATGCATTTTCATGTTCCATCAATTCTCAATCCTAGATTGGGAAACTGCTAACTTACCCTCTCATTCCTTTTGTCAGGTTAGCTATTATCAACTACTGTATTAGTTACCACAAGGAAACAGATGCTTACAGAACACACGCTTAAAAATAGTTTTAATTATTTCTAAACCCAGTACCTTAATCACTCCTATATAGATTTCCTAGTTAAAATATTTTAAATTAAGCCGGGCGCTGGTGGCTCACGCCTGTAATCCTAGCTACTCAGGAGGCTGAGATCTGAGGATCACGGTTCAAAGCCAGCCCGGGCAGGAGAGACTGTGAGACTCCTAACTCCAATAAACCACCAGAAAACCGGAAGTGGCGCTGTAGCTCAAGTGGTAGAGTGCTCCCCT